AATTTTGTTTTTTTTTTAAATTCACCAAATACAAAAAAAGTATAAAAATACAAAAATTCGATACATTATCTTATTTTGTTATATTCAATGGATTTTTTTAAAGTTTTTTACACAAATTTTATACTTTTTAAATATATCTAGATTAAATTGATCTAATCTATATATAATGGTGGAAATAAAAATGAAAAATTATATTCATATATAAAATTTAAACAAAAAATATCATAAAAATGTTGTGAAAGTGATATTGTTGTAAATATAAATCATGTTTATGAATATTTTGTTTTAAAGTGAAAAGTCACTTAGCTGCCAAATTGAAAACAACGTATATTATAAACAAGGGTAAGACAGGTATTTTACACTCTAAAATAACATTGAGGGACCTTAGGCTACAAAAGAACACATTGTGGACCTAATCCATTACTAAAAGTTGGATAGGGACCTTAAACCGATTTTCCCTAAAATTTATACAAAAAATATCATAAAAATGTTGTGAAAGTGATATTGTTGTAAATATAAATCATGTTTATGAATATTTTGTTTTAAAGTGAAAAGTCACTATTAAGTTATATTATTGTGTTTGAAAATTCGATATAGAATTTATATTTATATATCATCACTTAATAAGAATATGTTCAAGTAATGATGAAAAGTTATAGAATGTAGTCATAATGATAGAAAGAAAAAATGGTATGAAAAAGGGTAACATGGTCATTTAGAAAATTTTGACATCAGCAATCCAATGAGCAATTTGTAATGAGATTATAAACCTTAAGGAGAGGAATATAATTTTTCAAATATGAGGAGAAATTTGTATGAAACAGAAACTTAAAGGGGTGTAGTGTAATTTATCCTCTTTTTGGGGGGGTCTAAGTTAATAAGATATTGTAAATAATTATATTTAAAATTTTGCATGGCGTCACTTTTACTTGCTTGATACTTCCAACAAATAGAAATTTAGCTATATAAAATTCCAGAATATGTAAGTGAAATTTAAGATATTTCGTAAATATATGTGCTTAATTTTTTTTATTGTATTATTTAATATTTTAATAATTATTTGCATCATTTAAATTTTGCAAAACATGCTCCAATGTCATTCTTATGACAAATATTTTGAAATTCGACCCATTACTCAAACCCAAATGGGGATCGGAATATGGTCATTGATGTGGTGCAACACTCGAGCCACCACCACCGGTGCGTATCAAACAAATTTTCAATATTTATATGGTTATATAATATTTATTTTTTTTCCACAAAAATCCAAAGCAGGCTTCATCTTGTGAATGGATGGTCAAAAAAAGGCTTCCAACAAAAAATAGAGATTGGTGGAACTTTTTTTATTATTTTCGTTTTTTAAAAAATGAAAATGAGGAAGACCGGCAGAGAGAGTTATATGAATATTCAAAAAAAGAACACGAGTAATTTATATCTTTTAAAAATTTTATATTGATATTGGAGATGTGTTAGAGATTTATAATTTTAAAAAAATAAATTCACCCGTAATGACTTGACAAGAAAATTGGACTCATGTGAGAGTTTTTTTTGTGAAACTAAAATATATTTTTTAATGTTGTGCCTAACTAATAATAGAAGTTTAAATGATTACATGTCTTAAAAATAAAAATAAAAAATGATGAAAAAATAACAAAATATTATTAGATGAATATACACGTGGTCTTGTTGACTTATATGATAATTTTAGATGAGTATACAATCACGTAGTCTTATTGACTTATATGATAATTTTTGTGAAACACAAACAAGAAAGAAGAATCAAAGAGTTATGTTTAGATAAATTATACTTTGCACCCTTGTATTTTACACCAAATTTTATTTTAGTCCCCTACACACGAAATTATGACAGTCAATTCTTGTACTTTTACTTAAATTCCACTTTGGTCCTTACACAAATGTCAATGTTCCTCTTCTGTCACTTCATTTTTAAATCTTTAACAAATTCAATTCTGTGATTACAAATGACGATAAGAGAAGAAAATCATCCATATTTTCCACTAATACACTTTGTTCTACGTGATAAGTATGTGATAATACTATATATATATATATATATACTCATATGGTAAAAATTGGGACGAAAAGATAAGAAAGTAGAGTTTTTGAAATTTTAAAAAAAATGCAACAAAGAAATCAAAGAAAAAAAAAAAGTGAATAGACATAAGATTGTGTTACCGTGAAAAATTGAATTTCGTGATTCCAATTTATTCAAAATCCTAATTCATCTTCTTACTTGTTCACAATCTACATTTTGTTTTAGTCTAATACAATCATATTTTGATGTAAATTTTGGGATAAAGTGTGTATTAGTGGCAAATGTAGCTAATTTTCCTTTCTTACTCTCATGTCGTAGTGACATTCTTATTACATGACTAGATTTTGTTAAAGATTTAAACAATTGAGTAACAAAAATGTGACATTGACACTTGTGTAGGGACCAAAATGAGATTTTACCAAAAGTACAGGGAGTTGATTGTCACAATTTCATGTGTAGGGATTAAAGTAAGTTTTGATTAGAAGTGCAGGGGTTGATTGTCATAATTTCATGTGTAAGGGCCAAAATAAGAATTGATGCAAAATACAAGGGTATAAAGTGTAATTTACTTGATATGTTTTTGAGAGTTTCAATCACGATGGAATTTATCAAATTATTTTGAGTTTTAATTAGATTTTAACACAAGATTAAAGTTGATTTTAAATTGTTGTGACGTAACAGCGTGGATACGTATTGTGACAAAAAAATTGTACAGATGATAGAAGCGGTTTATGTTTATAATATACCTTTGCATTGCGACTCAAAGTTCCTGTAAGCATATTAAATTTTATTCAATTACAATATTAACACAATGTTAAAGGTCCTCTTTTTTACATATTGTCATTGCAAGTATTCAAATGCTAGACTTTTTGTAAGATCAATCCTAGACTTTTTGTCGTTCAAAAAAAAAAAATCCTAGACTTTTTGTAAGTCCAAGTATACACCATACTGGGGTTGGAGCATGATAATGAAAGGAACACGCACATATGACGGAAAAAATTGAAATGAGAAGTGTTGTAAAATTATTGCTAAGATTATTTTTGTTTCTACCATTATATTATTATTATTTTTTAAATGTGTTAAAACTTGAAACAAGCCAAAGCAACCTACTTGCTATAGTTCTCAATTAATTATTATTTTTAAATGTAGTTCTCAATAAATTATTTTGAAATGTTTTTTGCATGTATTTATAAGAATGAAAATTAAATCTAGTTGTGAATTAAATATTGAGAGGAGTAATTTGCTCAACCAAAGAAATATGATTTAATAGTACTAGGGGCTGAATTATCCCTTTCAAAGGAGATAAATGAGAAAAAAAAAACTTCTCCAAATAAGGTGATGAGAACTAATTTTAAATGCTAGCTTTGTTTTTCGTTAGTATTTTTAGGTTGTGATGGTGATAATTACAATAAAATAAAATTCATAGATGAACCTTGGATTATAATGATTATTACCATTCATTTAGCATATATAATGAGGGTGTTTGGTAGAGATTATTTTAAGTTAAAAGTTAATAATCAGAAAACAGAAGTTAAAAGCTCTCCTTCTCCAACTTCTGAAAAAATCAACTTTTTTTCAATTCATTTAAATTATTTCTACCTAATAAGCTATAAGCAAAAATTGCATCAAACAATTTGACACAAACTCAATATTTACTGCCACCCCATATGGTGTGGTTCGATCACAAATATCTAAACGCAGCAATACCGACAAAAGACAAATTGAAAAACAGAGGAATTATTGGATATCATGAAGAGTGTATCCCCCAACTGAAAAGCAATGCCAATACATAAGACAATGTTAACCGTAAAGCCAAGATAGTCATATTTACATATTGTCATTCCAAAGTTTCAGATCCTAGATTTTTTGTAAGATCAAGTGAGCACCATATTGTGGTTGGAGCGTAACAATAGTGAAAGGAGCATGCACATATGATGGGGAAAGTTCAAATGAGAAGTGTTTTAAAATCATTGCCAGGGCTAATTTTGATTCCACCATTGCGAAGTTTTGTCCAATGCACACACGAGGACCCCCACTGAAAGGAAAGAATGTGCTTTGGCCCTTTGTTGCCTTTATAATTCCAAAATAAACGGAATAGGTTGAGGTCCGGCGGGCGGCCAAGGCGAGGTTGCCGCCCGCCGGTGAAGCGAAAAAGACTAAGTTCTTAACTTAGCTCTGATACCATGATAAGAAATTGATGTATTATTATTGATTTATCGATATATTGATTGTTATGTATATTGATTTTACAAGCTATTATATAGGAGAGGTGTGAGGTAGGTGAGTGGTGGTAGTGGATGGTAGTGGAGGTGGTGGGTGGTAGTGGAGATGGTAAGTGTGTTAGGTTTAGTGGAGTGGATGTAGTGGGTTAGGTTAGTGGGTTAGGTTTAGTGTACATTAACACATACATAATGCAGAAGTATAATTGGATTGGTCATGTTTTCATACAATAATCAAATGATAGCTCTGCATTCATATGTATGCATTTTTTGCACACCTAAGAAGCTACGTAGACATATCGATATAGTAATTTTTGAGAAATACAGAACACTAAACATGGAGAATACACACAATATATTGTTCTATTATAAATTTATTATAGGTTATACATATGAATATTTCATTCAAAGTTAAAAAATATAAACAAATAACACAAATTTCTAATGTTTAAGGGAGCATAAATTAATATGTATAAATCTACGTTGTTATTCTTGTACCAATTCAATTATAGCTAGTACTTAAATTTCTCTTCAGAAGATGACAGCCGTTCCGTTTTAGTTTATACAATTCACGAACTTCCAAATTATATTCATGCATTACATTTCTCTTTCTGAAAAGATTTTAGTATGATAGGCAAAAAGTTCTGTAGTTAGTCCTATTAATTTGAGAACAATTCCAAAAATTAGTTTATGCAGAAAATACTCACAGTTTTAAGCTGATTTAACCCATCAAAGTCTGGTTTGTTTTCCCCAAATACTGCCAAAACCTCTTCTCTAGCTAGAGACTGCCACTTTTGATGCTTACTCAACAAGACCATTGTCCACACAAGCAAAGCCAAGGTGGTCTCTTGCCCAGTGAGCTAGAATAGCTTGCAATCTTCGATCACCTCTTCTATTGTTAGCGTGATTTTCTTCTTATTTCCCTTTTCTTGAATTTCTTTCAAATTTGTTTTCAATAGTATTCCCAATAAGTCATTATTTTCATCTTCATCTTTCATCGTTCTCTCTCTTTTATTGATGATATTGCGTAGTACAGATCCCACTTCATGATAGATTGCTTTCATCCTCTTGTTTGTCTTTGTTGGTAAAAACCTACATGCAATCCAGTAAATCTCGAAGAGATGAAGACATCAAAAAAGGACCAAAATAGAAGGTTCAATTTTTGTGATTGGTACTACTTGGGACGGAAAGACATGTAAAGTTTCCAACCTATTTTCTTGAAAAAGCGATGAAGCATCATATGAAAATGAGAAGATAAAACTATCTAGGCTTCAACTACATAAATTTTAGGAACGTAATTGTCAACGAGAAGCTGAGTCTATGAAGTAAAGTATTTTGAAAATTTACAATATATATAGATATATACATATATATTTTTTGGGTAGGTATATATATATTTTTAGCATTTAATATCTACCAAGAAATTTATCTACAATCCTATATTCAATCTTTGTATGTAAATGAAGATATCAGGTACAATCAAAGTTACTTTAAGTAAATAAATCAAGTATACACAAGTAAAGAAACTCACAATTGGTATATAATTAAAATTGTAATGCAATATAAGAGTTTTGTCTTTCAAACAGAAAGCAAGCAAAACAATCATAAACTAATTCTACCTTACCTCCATCCTGGAATGTAAATCGACTGCAATTGTTGGATTGTAAGATCTGTTTGTTCTTTTTGGAGTTCGAATATCTTTTTTCCTTCTTCATAGTTACTACCAAACGATGTCCGAGAAATTATGTCGCCTGTCAGACTCTCAAGATACGGGAATACGTCAAGCTCACATGACCCTTTTGTTGAGACTAATACCTCCCATTTGCTTATCATCTCACAACAACTTGAGTACATTGCTGGTAACATTTGCTATACGACAAATACCAAAAACATTGTTAAGCACTGCCGATGCAATACTTGCATGGAAAACATTTTGTGGGGTTTTGGTTACTCTGGAAAGCAATTTTGAGGAAGAGAAGCAAATGAATGTCTAGTTCAAACAAACACTAAGTAGTTTCTAATTGTTTTACTTGTTTAGTACTATTATTTTTTGTGTATGATTCTAAATCTAGTTAGGATGAGGCATTGTTGTGTGCAAATAAAAGAAAGTGCAGAAAGAAGGAATTGTTAAGTTTCATTAAGAATAACACAGAAACCAACAAAAAAAAACAAACAAAAAAACAAAACAAAAGAAGATATTTTGAATGTGGATCCCAACTAATTTGTAAGATATTGTTCATTCATGACAATTATAACACATTAAATTAGCTAGTCTCGGGTCTAACAAGCATTTGTGAAGTACAATAGTGAGCAGTTTACAAAATTTAAGGGCAAGAAACCAAAAAAAAGAAAAATGGATGAATGGGGGTTTGGTTCTCATGTTTGCTCCAAAAAAAAAAAAAAAAGTGGATAAAACAGGGAAATTAATGGCTAGGTATAAAAAAAAATATTGTCTATTTAATTTTAATTTTTTTCTTAATTTCATCTAAGCACACTGTAACATACTACATGCATCCAAATGTATTTACAAAAAAAAAAAAAAAACCCAAAAAAAAAAAAAAAAAAAAAGTGGATAAAACAGGGAAATTAATGGCTAGGTATAAAAAAAAAATATTGTCTATTTAATTTTAATTTTTTTCTTAATTTCATCTAAGCACACTGTAACATACTACATGCATCCAAATGTATTTAACTTAAAGAAGTCAAGATTAGAGATTAAATACCTTCAACTTTTCTAGATGAAAAGTTGGGTTGATAAGGTTTCTGTGCTTAGCCCATTTCTCACCCTCATACCCCAGAAGCCCTGTCACTAATAACTTGCCAAGTGGGTTCATCCCTGGCTTTTGAAAAGCTTCATAGTTAAATAAAATCTCCTTTATCAGTTTAGGATCTGTAATGGTTAGTCTCGGTGTTGGGCCTAACCATTGAAAGTAATCTTTACCTGAAAGTTTTGGCCATTTTTCCAAGGTAAGAAGTACATTAAAGACTTGGTCTAATAAAATGATTAACAATATATGACAACATGTGAGATGAGCTTAAGAATCTTAATATTGATAATATAAAAATGTGTTTTTGTTAAAATCCACCTACTTCACCCACTTAAACCTACTTCACCCACTTAAACCTACTCCACTAAACCTAACCCACTACACCACTACCACCTCACCTACTCCACTAAACCTACTCTCCACCACCACTACCACCTCCACTTCACCTACTCCTTACCTACTACACACTCACCCTCTTCTATATATAGGAATCATGAATCATTGTAATAGATATCAACATTATATCAATCAATAATACAATTCTCTATTTCTCTTTATACATTAAATTTCTACAGTTTTACATCTTCTTTCAACGCTATAACCAAAGATAGAAATGTGAAATAAATAAAAACAACAAGAGAGATTATGTTCTTCAAGGAGTAGAATGATTTTGTGCTATATGATTGGCTAGCATCTGAAGTTCAATTACCAGTATGGGCACTCTCTCTTCTTCTTCTTTTTTTTTTTTAACAGACTTGACTGGAAGCAAAGCCTAATTAATAAACAATAAAAGCAGCATTTGAGCAAGTGTTAAAAATTCTGTTTTCAAAAAATACTTCAACCAAATCTCCTTTGACCACACTCCAACTATCTTGAAAAACTGCCATCACAAAAATAGAAGCCCCCGGATCACACTCAAACGCTGCCAATCTAATTTTCTCCTTTGCAAAGGGCCTCTTCAACCAGTTAGACTTACTAACTCAATTCCTGACTTATCCACCCACCCCAAGTATAAAATCTGGAATATTAGGGGGAAAAATTCATTAGTAATATAATAATCAATAACACTATCAAATTAATTCTAAGGAGGGAAGTGTTGTTGATTTTCTTTCGACAAGCAATTTGGCTGGATGGTTTGGTTTAATAGAATTGCAACTAGTGATATGTTTCTAAGGAGAAATATAAGAGTAAACCAAATTGTTTTATTTTATGCAACAGAAAGTGAAGCAGATAATTATTCAACAGAGGGCGAAGCAGACATGTCTCCTACGTCTAGACTGGTTTTTACATCAATATATTTCTTTTTGCTAATTTAAAATAAATAAATAAAAAATTAAATAAATCCAAGTCCAATTAATTTGTATCAATAAAAAGAAAAAAGAAGAAGCTAAGTCCAGTTCTAAATCCATTCAAATCTTGTCTTTTCCGTCCAGTAAAAAGGAATTTTGAAACATTCAACTGGTTGGATACTTCCAACCAAATTCACAGAATAATTCCAACAAATTTTTGTGAGTGAAATTTTCGGAATCCCCCCCTTCTCAAAAAAAAAAAAGAAAAAGAAAAAGAAAAATGAAACTTTTTCACGGTTATTAACCAGGACCCTTGGCATAGTGATTGTTTGTGGAGCACCACTTTGAGGTGTGAAGTTGTAGATTCAACTCTTATGGAGGAGTTTGATATCCATAGGCTTGGGGTTGGACTTGGTGTATTGTTGGACGTGCTATGGTCGTTCAATTTGGTGTGCTTATCCAGTTTGATAGAATACATTAGGAATTGGGGTCACTGCTTCTAAAACAATTTCTCATCAGAAATAATCATGGGTAATTAAATGGTCTCTAAACAACAGAGGAAAGCCTATGGTGCACATGTGTATCGTATATGTCTTATAATTAAAAAAAAAAATAATATAATTTTATACTTTCAGAGTTATAATTATAAAAAATTATAATCAAACAATACATAAAGTACAACTAAAGATCTCATGAGTTATGACTAAAATAAAATCATAATTAAAGAAAAAAATTAATTCTAATTAAAAAAAGAAATTATATAAATTAAGGGTGCAAATGGTAAAAATGCATATAGTAGAATTCCTCAAAAAGAAAAGGTAAGTATCCGGCCTGTTACATTTTTTTGTTAATTTTTAATTTTTTAATTTGCTCTCCAAGCATATCATCTGTTATACTTTACTCTTTATTTGGTACCAGTGATGAGGCTGTTTTTCGATAACAGAGCATATATTTTAGGGATAAAAATGCAATAAAATCATATTTGGGGATTTTAGGAAAAGTTTTGAAAATTAACTCTCCGGTTATTTGTTTTGAATGGCACTAATACCAAAAACTAAATACTAAATGTAACAAATCACATAGTAAATAAATTAAAATGTAACAAATTGAATAATTTGAGAAGTAGTCCAGCCATAAATGCAAAACTCAACTCCAATCTCAAGCATTTGACCTGTTTAGTTTGTTTTTTTTAAGGAAACAACAATGATAGGACCCTCTTTTTTGGGATCTCACAACCCCTAAAGTGATCACTTCCAGAATTGTGGGGTATTTAAGAAAAGAGTCTCACTTATTTTCCTTAAGAAAAAAAGGTTGGAATTCCTTTTTAGAACCCATCACCCTTAATGTATTGTACTTTTTGTTTTGTTTTTTTCTTTTTTGTTCTCATCTCTGGTTGACATGTATGTGAGATTGTTGGGGTAAAAAAAAAAAAGTCTGTATGATTTCTGTTTTTTTAGTTCCAAAATTCACACCACTATTTGTGGCCCTCAAAAATCTGAAAACCTAATTCGATACTATTCAAACAAGTATAGAGTTTTCAAGAGAGATACATACCATGAAGATTGACACAGTGATGGTGGAATGGTTGAAAATGGGGCACAATATCGTCGGAGTAAGGGTCAATGGGTTTGGATCTTGCTTCTTTCATCATGGGTATCATCTCTTTGGTGTCTCCAAACAACAATTTGTATGGATTTCCCTTGAAACCTTGCTCTCTCAGCCACTTCTCTAACTGCTTTGGCCTCAACCACACCCAGTTCACTACCTTCCATGCCCATGTTAGCAAAGTTACCAAAGCTATGGAGGTAACAACAGAGCTCACTGTTACTTCCATATTGGAGAAGAAACAGAAGAGAGAGAGAGAGACAGAGAGAGAAATCCACAAATTCAGTCGCTGCGGTGAAGGTAGGTACATGATACAATTCTTCATATGATATGATGACAATAAAGACAAAATTGAGGAAACCTAAGTGCACTTCTAATGCAATTATTTGTTCAAAAGTTATATGTGAATATTTCAATCATAAATTTCAGTATTTCAACTTTAAAACTATTCACAAACAAGAAAAGTAGTGGTACGCGGATAAAATAGTTGTTTCAGTGATTTATGTAATTAATTATTGAGATAATAAGTGTTAAAATATGTTAGTATTATATGTTAGTGATGCACAGTGCGCCATGAGCGACTTATACATGATACTGTGTATAAAGCGACTTATACATGATACTGTGTATAATCATGTCGGACCGTTGTAAAAGACAGTTTATGGGGTCATGTCGGACCGATGTAGCAAGAGGTTGTGGTGATGCACAGTGCGCCATGAGCGACTTATACATGATACTGTGTATAAAGCGACTTATACATGATACTGTGTATAATCATGTCGGACCGTTGTAAAAGACAGTTTATGGGGTCATGTCGGACCGATGTAGCAAGAGGTTGTGGTGATGCACAGTGCGCCATGAGCGACTTATACATGATACTGTGTATAAAGCGACTTATACATGATACTGTGTATAAAGCGACTTATACATGATACTGTGTATAAAGCGACTTATACATGATACTGTAATTTTTTTATTGTAATCTAACCTATCAATATTCCAACATCTTATAATTAAAAAAATGATACTTTATGTAATAATTTTACTCTATTTTTATTTCTAGATTACATCAGTTTTAAGTAGAGGTGTTCGCAGTTCGGTTGCGGTCGGAAAACTTTCAATCCGCCATTCGTCTGTCGGATTGAAAAAGATTAATCTGCATCCATCTGTCAGATTGACGAATGCGGATTGAACGAATTGGCAAATAGTTGTAAATTGGTTTGGCGGTTTAAATTTTTACAAATTTTGAACATAATACAATAATTTGTCAACAATTTTTTTATAATAATCCAACTCAACATAACAAAAAAATTATCATTTAAATTGTCAAAAATTAATAATAAATACGTATAAAAAAAACATACATTATCAAAACTATTTCATTATATTTTTTTAATTTAAAAACTATTTAATTTAATTTTTTTTTAGATGACAAAATTAGGCCTTATATTTTCCACACAAAAATATCAAATATCAACACTTGCCATTTGATAAAAAGATTTTCAAATTGAAAACACAATAGAATATCTAATTTTTTTTTCAATTGAAAATATAAATAAAATATCTAAACAAATTGAAAACACAAAATCTTACAAAAAAATTTTATCAGCAAAAAAAATTTTATTGATGAAAACTAAACAAACAAAGTATGACAGATAAGAATGGCAACAGGGCGGGGCCGAGCCGGGCGGGGGATTGCACTTCCCGTCCCCGATCCCCGAACCTATATAATTCTCTGTCCCTGTCCTTGATTCCCGATGGGAAACCCATGACCTCCCCCACCCCCGCCCCCTACAGGAATCGGGTTTCCCCGACCCCGAAAAATCCCCGACTCTTTTTTTTTTAAAAAAAAAAACAACACCCATACCAAAAAATAAAAATATTGAAAGCAATTGAAAATGAATCATAATATATGGAAAGAAATTGATAATTTCAGTGCTGAAACTTCAAATATATTGTATATACTTTTCGAAAATAACAAAATAAAATAATTCAATCAACTAAAAATAATAGTTCTTGTATATAACAAAAATGTTAAGAGATCCCGCCTCTTTTACTGAAATTTCTACCACCTGAGTTTCATTGTGGAACTCACCCATTTGAGGAATGGTAGGAATTTTGATTAAAAAAATAGGAGCAATAATATTGTTGTAGAAAGATGAGACCGAACAAACACCTTTTCAAAAAATTGGAAGCATACACAACAAAAAAGAGTTACAGAGAAGATCCCTTGGCTGTCTAAGCGCAAAGGAGAATCCAGATTTGTACACAAACAGACCAGATTTGTAAGGTGACTGAAATGACAAATTTGCAAAGGGGTAAAGAAGGGATGAAAAGTTGATAGATCAGGATGAAAACAAGGAAATCGAAGAGTTGATAGAGGAGATAGGCAGAAATTACTAGAGAGTCGATTGAGTCGATCCGCCGTAAGAGAGACGAAGAGCTGGTGAGGGAGTCTGGAGAAGGGAGACGCCGAGCGATAGCGGCAGCAGCCGTGTAACTAGAAAGAGGAGAGAGTGCGGTGTGTGAGTGTGTCTCAGTGTCTCTGCGTGAAACCCTAAAATGAGTCAAAAGAATAGATAAAACATATATATATGCAGATGGGTGCAAAGGTAATTTCATGTCGGGGTAAACAGGTACGGGCCGAGGACGGGGACGGGGACGGGGACGGGGACGAGCCAGGGCTGGGGAAGGTATCACCGTCCCCGGCCCAAAAATGATCGGGGATTCATTTTTAAATACCATCACTGGCCCGTCGGGAGTATTTTTCGGGAAAAAACCGTTCCAATCGGGGTCGGGGAGCCGGGTCCCTGTCGGTTCGGTTTCAAATTGTCATCTCTAATGACAAAGTACATCAAAAAGAGAAGTGTGTAAAAGTATCATAGTGAACCATCAAGATCCCAACTAGGTTGGTACCAAGATGAACACCAAATCATCTGCTAGCACAAACTCCAAGTTCCAAGTTAGTGAAAAACCAACACACAGCGCAAAAGCAAAACACAAAACAGCTACCAAAAATCAATCACCAGCATCCATACAAAACAACTACTATTACTTGTAACTAGGACCACCACTAATCACTCAGCAACACCAACTTCTCAACCCAGCAACCACCAAACAGCAACAAAAGTAATATACATCAGCACCATCAGACATCAACAACCAGTAATCAAAGGTCTTGTTTGGTGTAACTATTAAAACAAATTATAGATTATAGCTTAAAAGATTATAAATTATGACTTTAATCAGAAGTTGTTAATCTGTTTGGTATAGCTGTTGGATTATAGATTTTAGTTACTGAGTAGTATTTGTTAAATAAGCTGTGAAGTAACTTTTTCAATTAATTTTTATTTTTTATTATTTACTATTTGCCTACATTTCTCATAAAAAATATTAATAATGCTTTATAGTCCATTTGGGTCTTTTTCTATTTTTAAAAAAATAAAAAATAAAAAAATCTAAGAGTATAACCGTGAATTAATAAGTCCACAGCAGAAGCTGATAATCAGAAGTAAGGGGTGAGCAGCTTTTCAGAATCAGCTTTTTGACTTAAAATAAATTGTTAGAATCTGAAACTGTTTGAAATAAGTTTAGCCAAACAGTCCAAAATAACTTTTTAAAAGTCAGAAACCATAAATTGGCTCAAAAAAGCTCCACCAAACACCTCCAAAATGCAACAACAGCACCAAAATGCAGCAACAACTAGCAGCAACAACATCAAAAATGCATCAACACCAGCAGCTATGCACCAATATAACAACAGCACCAGTATTTTAACAAAAAACATAGCTCCTGATCTGCTGCAAATTGTTTACAAGTTCATGAATAGTGTACTCACACTTGGGAAAGTGAGATTTCGACCACACAATAATCCGAACTTTAACTAGATCACACAGCACACCCAGATGAGGCTGAACTCCATTAAATACACATTCATTTCTTGTTTTCCATAAGGACCACATGAGAGCACAAGGGATAGATTTCCACAACATCCCATGAAATTTCTTGAACTTAAAGCCAACCCACCAACACAGCAACCCCTCAACTGAACCAGGCACAACCCACTGAAGACCCTACCATCCTACAATATGTGACCATAATCTCCATATCTCTGGACACCACAGCATCACATGATTCAAAGACTCCCTTTCAAATTTACAAAACACACATGAAGTACTTGCTTCCTCACTAATCACACCAATCTGTTGTAAAAAATCTGCTGATTTAATTTTACCCTTCCAGACTAGCCAACCAAAAAATTATGCTTTTGAAAGAGAAACATTTTTCCAAATAATAGGCAGAGCAACTGAGATAGCTCCAACCTTCTGTCTATTATAGACTGAAGCCACACTAAATTGCTCGGAAGGAAGTGATTTCCATTTAAGGCAATCATCAACATTGGTCAGAACAATCGGAGCAGTGTTAAGTTTTGAAATGAGTACACCCACCTCAGCTATCTCCCATTCCCTTAAAGATCTTCTAAATTGAAAACACCACTCTATAGAAGCACCCATTTGAATCAACATTCCTCGCAATAAAACATCACTATTAGTAACCAATTCAAACAATCTTGGAAAAGTCTCTTTAAGGCATTGATTATCCAGCCACTTGTCCTCCCAAAACCCAATTCTATTCCCATTGCCAATAACAAAGTCCATATTTGAAAAATAAAAGTTCCTGAGATGGGGGGTTGCAATCTGCTACTCCAAGAATGTCACCCCAAACCCTTGATAATCTGATTGAATTCTCCATAAATGGGAACCATCTTTCACCAGACATTGGATATTTTGAACATATTACCCTTTTCCACAAGGCCTTATCTTCAATCGCAAACCTCCACCACCACTTAGAGAGCAAACAATCATTAACATCTATGATCCTCTTTATTCCCAACCCTCCATGATCCTTACTTTTAGTAACCTCATCTCATTTTACCAAATGTAATTTCCGTCTTAAATCTGAACCTTCCCTCAGAAAAGTAGCCTAAACCTTATCAATAACCTTTGCCACTCCCTCTGGCATTTTAAACAAAGATAAATAAAGCAAAAGCAAACTTGATAACATTGATTTAATTAAAGTTAGGCGTCCACCGAACGATAGCATCCTTCTTTTCTACCCTGCTAGTGTAGACTTGAACTTATCAACAACAGGTTTCCAAGTTTGCAATCTCCTTGGACTAGCCCCTAATGGAAAGCCTAAGTAAATAGAAGGTAATTTCCGTCTTAAAAATTACTGTGGGTGCTCGCGGTTTGGCGGTTCAGTTACGGCCAAAGCAACTTTAAATCTGCCATTTGTCCAACATTAGGCGGATTGAAAAAAAATATCAACAACCATCCGTTCGTTATCACACATCTGTTCAAATATAACGGATCAGTTCGA